GTGCAATGGCTACGCCTGTAATCCCAGCACTTTGGGAGGCTGAGGTGGGCAGATCACTTGAGCTCACAAGTTCAAGACCAGCCTGGGCAACATGGCAAAACCTCGTCTCTGCAAAAAATACCAAAAAATTAGCCAGGCATAATGGTGCCTGTAGTTCCAGCTGCTCAGGAGGCTGGAGCGGGAGGATCACTTGCGTCCACAAGGCACAGGTTGCAGTGAGCTAAGATCATTACACTGCACTCCACCCCGGGCAACAGAGCAAGATCCTGTCTCACAAAAAGGGGGCACTGGGGCACCAAGAGATGCAGGGAGGATGAGGGCTACATGACCACTCTCTCCGGGAGATCTTAACTCTATACATGGAGACCTCAAAATGTTACTGTCATCAAAAGCCAGGAATCCTTTTCTGGAGGTACAACTTCCTGCCCTTTCTTATCCCTATCAATCTGGTTTCTGTAGGACTGTGACTGCTAGAATACTCCGGGCATATTTGTTCTAAGAAAATACTTGTGTTCAGTGAGTTTACCAACAAAGGGAGCATCAGAGGATGTAAGGGAAGTCTGGAATGGTTGTATCACTGAGAGCAACACAGCTCAGATGTTTGTGGACCTAAGAGCATGTTACAGATAAGATCATTTTTAAAAAGTTGTTTGCGGTGTCATTTTACGATTTTGTATACATTTTCCAAGAGATATGGCTATTCTCTAGGAGGGATGTTAGCTCATGGCCCTCCTTAGCTTATGGATTTAAATTAACATAGTAGAAATTATTTCAATTTTAATCAAATAACCTAGAGAATATAACCCAAATGACTGAAAGGAAGAAATATAGGAAAAGTATATAAAATAATTTTATGCATTATAAAAGTTTAAAGATATAAAGTGATATTACTATATAAACCTATTTTTTGCTCCAGCTATTAATATATTTGTCTTTATAAAACACCACAGTTATTTATTGCTATGTAACTAACGACCTCAAAATTTTATGGCTTGAAACAACATTTAATTATTATGCATGTGGTACGTAATAACTTTTGCTTTCCTCATTTCTACTCCTGATATTTGCCTAGGATGTGGCCATCATGGCTGGGGCCCTAGCAGCCGTATTGTGGCCATGATAATGGTTGTGCTATAACTTGGGGTTGGCTGGGCTCAGCTTGGTGGTTTTTGCTTGGAGCCTCTCACTCAGTTGCACTTAGACAGTGGCTAGGACTAGAATTACCCAAAGGCTTCCTCATACATGTCTGGTGTCTGGGCTGAGAATATTCAAACAGCAGGGGCGCCTCCTCTCTCTAATCCTCCTTCTCTCCACATGGCTCTCCTGCATGACAGCTTTAGGGTAGCTAGACTTGTCACAGGATGGTTCAGGACTCTCATAGTACAGAGAGAGAGAGATACAGAGGCCATATTACCTTTGATTAGCCAGGCACACAGTACCACCTCCACCACATTCTGTTCATTGTGGCTGTCACAAAGAACCACCCAACTCTTGATGGGGGTATGGGCAAGGTTCTAGGAGAGCACATTCTTATGGCCATTTTTTAGAAAATACAATCTGCCACCCTCCAGAAGCATCAGTCTGCCTTATTATCCCAGCCTCTCATTTAATTCTCTCAACAATCCTGGGAGATTATATGAGCTTATTATCCCCATTTTCCAGATGAGAAAATTGAAGATTTTTATGGTTAAGTCATCCTGCTAATGAGTAGTGCTGGTTTCAACACAGTTCTGTCTGCATATAAAGCATTTAACTCACTCAAGGGCGCGTGGTAAACAATCAGGATGTGTTAGCTAGCTAGCACTACTTCTGCAAACAAGGACTAAGGAGGGTTTAGTTAATTATACCAAAGATGTCAGAGTAGACTTCCCCAAATTAGCTGTTAGCTTTGGCAGGCCTCATCCCACCTCCTATAGTCTGCCAATGTTATAAACTTGGACCTTGAAGTCATCCGGCAACTAATTTTATTTTACACATGGTGTTACTTGTAACTGTTAGTTAAGAAGCAATAAAAAGGGGTGATATAGATTTCTCAGGATTCAAAGTCCATACACCTTCCCTTCTAGTTCTTTCCTAAAACCTTTAATATGTAACCTTAGGTATCCTATAATTTGCTTCAACTAATGCCAGACTTAAAAGGTAGGTGAAAATCTGGTTAAGGGAGTTCTTTTGGATTCTGTGTAAGTTAAATCAAGCAGGTCCTTCTTCTCTAGCAGATTAATTCCATGATGAAGCTGTGGTTGTAGGTTTATTTTTGCTTAGCCAGGTAGCTTTTCCTTGGCACATGCCATCCTCTTCCTCTTTTCATCCTGGAAATGTGTTCAGTGTTAAGAGGATTTGATAACGATGTATCAGTATCTCCATAACTTACCCCAAGTCTAATACCACTATTAGGAAAATAATATAAGGCACATGATCACCCAGATCTTATTTATTTGAAGGATAATATAATTATTACTAACTATTGCATGTTAGGTAACTTACAGCCATTACTCTGTCCCTTTAAGGTTTGTCGATTTGTAAGTTCCCTAGGGTAGAAGAGTATAAAACAGAAGGCAAGACTTTATCATCTTTACATAACTTGACTTTCTTCTTTGGGGTGTACCATACTGTGTAGGAGACCTTGGTTAACAGTCCACAAGTCGGATAACCAGGATGAGTTTTTAAGATTTTCTCTTTGACTTTAATGCTATGCAGTTTTGCCATGAAGAGGCTGGGTATAGATCTGTTGTTGTTCATTAGAGAGTTTATATCACTTTTCAACTCTAGAAAATTATCAGCTATTATATCTTTAAATATTGCCTCCCTCTCATTTTCCATTCCATCGGAGATTCTATTAGATGTGGGTTGGATCTTTCTTATATCTCCATGTCTCTTAACCAATTTTTTCATATTTTTTATTTTTTAAATCTCATTGGTGATTTCCTTGGATTCGTCATACATTTAATTATCCAGTTATGTCTAGTCTATTATTTAACCTTTCCATTGAGGTTTTTGTCTTTTAACAGTTCTGTGTGCATGCGTGTGTGTGTATGTGTGTGTGTGTGTGTGTGTGTGTGTGTGTGTGTGTGTCAAGGTCTGGTTCTGTCACCCAGGCTGGAGTGCGGTGGTGCAATCTTGGTCACTGCAGCCTCTACCTCCCAGGCTCAAGCCATCTCCCACCTCAGCCTCCCAAGTACCTGGGACTGCAGGCACGCACCACCATACCCAGATAATTGTTATATTTTTTGTAGAGGTAGGGTTTTGCCAAGTTGCCCAGGCTGGTCTTTAACTCGTCAGCTCAGGCAATCCACCCACCTCAGCTTCCCAAAGTGTTGGGATTACAGGCATAAGCCACCACGCCTAGCCTAGTTACTGCATTTTTTTTTTCTAGAAGTCCTATTTGCTTTTTTTCTGAACCTTTCCTGGTCTCTTTTTTCATATTCTTGATTTTATCATGGATTTTGTACCTTTTATTTATTTTCTTCTTTTTTCTCTAGTCACATGGTTTTTTCTTCTTTTTTTTCTAGTTAGGATTTTATACATTTTATTACCTCTCTATGTTAACTTTGGTTTTGCATTGTTCTATTATCTCTAATTCTTACTGGACTAGTTATTTTGTTTGATGCATCTGTTAGTTTTCTCTCATGGTAGCTGGTTTCCTCACACGGTTTGTAACTTTTTATTGTGAGCTCATCTTTGGCGGGAGTGGCCCGTATGTCCTGACTGAGAATGTGTTCCTCCAGAGCAACTTTATGTTGGTTTGTCTGAGCCCTAGCAATTTCAGTAATCTTGGATTAACTTTTATTTTCTCACATTGAAGCACATACAGTCAAGGAATGTACATTTGTAACTTACACCATGTGTGGTGCAAGTCTAGAATTTCCATTTCTCAAGATGACTTTCTTTCTCATGAATGGCCCTAAGCTGATAGCAAGTTTCCATTCTGATACTCTGGACAGCTTGCAGCATTTTTCTAAACCCTCTTTCATAGATGGGGTAGCTTTTCAAGGCTCTGGACCATATGCAGATAGCATATCCAGAATCTCCCTTTGCCCTGGCCGAGGTCACATCACTAATCTTGTGTGAGCTTTGAAACCCCTTCCACCCATCCCATAGAACTATATGCAGTCCTAAAATCTTCATGGGCCAGTCCTAGTCACAGCCGCCTTGCCACCAGCTCCTGCAATCACTCTAGCTTTTATTTTTCTCTTTATTTCTGGCACCTGGTGTTCCCCTTTCTGTTTCAACAAGTTTTTGTTGTGCTTTCCTAGCACTTCCATATGTGTGTAGCAGGAGGGGGCTGAATGGCACCTGCTCTGATGCCATGTTGCCGTAAATCACAGTGAGCTTTTTGTAAGTAGAACAGCTTCCATTCCTGAGTTTGATTCTAAGATCTACCACTTCCTTACAGTGTTATCTTGGGCAAGCATCGTAACATTTCTTAGTTTCAGGAACAAAATAAAGATAAAAGCTGACTTTTTAGGGTTGTTGGGAAAATTAGATAATGCATGTAAAACTTACTGAAACTTCTTCTGGCACATAGCAAGTCAGAGGTTCTCAATTCTGGCTAGGTTGGCCTCAGTATCCCCTGGGCAGCTTTTCAAAATTTGACATTTCTGGGCCAGAAGCGATGGCCCGCACTTGTAGTCCCAGCTACTCAGGAGGCTGAGGTAGGAGCATTGCTGGAGCCCAGGAGGTCGAAGTTTGCCAGGAGCTGTGATCACACCACTGCACTCCAGCCTGGGTGACAGAGTGAGCCCCTGTCTTAAAAAATAATGGTAAAATAAAGTAAAACACAGAGATTTCTGGGTGCTACCCCTCAGCAGTTGTGATTCATTAAGTCTGAGATAGATCCTAGAAATCTGCGTTTTGAAAAGCTCCGCAGGTAATCCTGGTATGCTACCCAGTTTGAAAATGCTCTTAAAGTTATTCAAAAAATCATAAGTAGTTTCATTGTTCTCAGATTTCTAAGCATTTCAAAGTCATTTATTTCTCCCACACTGATATTTTCATCTCAGATGTGGTGAAGCCGTAGAGAAAAACAAGCGTCTCATCACACCAGACCAGAGGGAGTATCAGCAGGAACTCAAAAAGAACTATAACAAGCTAAAAGAGAACCTCAGACCAATGATCGAGCGGAAAATTCCAGAACTCTACAAGCCAATATTCAGAGTTGAGAGTCAAAAGAGGTAAGAACAGAGCAGAAAAGGCCTTTTCCTGGGGGTTAAAGGGCAGCGCATGGGACCCAGCACCTCAGGGCATGGTCTGCTGCACTTGAGAAGCTACAGCACCTGCGAAGGGAGGGCATGGGGCCTGGAAGCAGAGGCTGCCAGGGTGTGATCCATTCTGCTCCCGTCCTCCCCATCCCTGCTCCTTGACCTCTCCCAGACACTTTGGTATTGGTCTTGTGCCAGCGGTCTTCTCAGGGCTGAATTACGGCCTGTGTTGGATTTTTTGTTAGTTTGATTGGTTTCTGTGTTTGTTTTGGCACGGTGTGAAGGGGTCACAGACCTTTCAATTATTATTTGCTGAGTTCTCTGTGACTGATATCCATTTCTACCAGGTAATCCACCCCTAACCCTTTCTAAAAGGCCAGTTGATGTTTCTTACTTCTGTATGCTCTCTTTCCCTCCCTTCCCTCTTCTCTTAATTTCAGGGACTCTTTCCACAGATCTAGTTTCAGGAAATGTGAAACCCAGTTGTCACAGGGCAGCTAAGAAAAGTCATCTTCATTCGTGGAGACTGTGGCCCTGCAACCCTGGAGAAGGACTCGCTGGTACTTAAAAAATTGGGACATTTGCCACCCAGGATTGACTGTATGCTCCCTGACCAGCCAGCACTCTGAAAGCTTTGGGATCCAAGGAACTGTGGAATGATACCCAAAATGGACTCTGACCAGATTTTTGCCATACTGGAGGATGGCAGGGTGGAGGATGGGTACTGAGGCATGACTGTGTATTTATTTAATTGTGTTTTTTCACAATGTACCAAACAAGGCATAAGCAACTTCTCCTGCTGAGAAGGAGAACTTCTCCTGGTCAGTCACTGCCCATCTGAGACATTATTTCCTCTGGCCTATATTTGATTTATAGGAGTAACTCACATTGCCTGAGGAAAAATGGAAAAATTATCCACCAATCAATTCAAACTGAACTTCACTCTTTATAGGAAGGGAGGGTGAACTTGTAGGAGTACAAAACATTTTCAATAAATCTATGAAGGGAAGCCTTACTGCAATTCTAAAAATCATGATGGTTGGAAATTTGGGTGTAGATTAATTATTTGTGAACTTGTTACCGTTTTGGTAGTGGTGGACTAATTGTTGTATAGTTATTTTTGCTTTATTATTACTGTTAAGTTAACATGCATTTATAGAGGAATATACTCAAAGCATTGATGGAGGAGATACATGGTACTTGGAGCAGTCAGCCAAAAATTACAGATACTGCTTTTACTTAAATGCAAACAATCCTCCTATAATGCTTTGCTTCTCTTTTTTTTTTTGAGATGGAGTCTCGCTCTGTCTCCCAGGCTGGAGTGCAGTGGTGTGATCTTGGCTCATTGCAACCTCCACCTCCCGGGTTCAAGCGATTCTCCTGGTTCAGCCTCCGGAGTAGCTGGGACTACAGGTGCACACCACCACACCCAGCTAATTTTTTGTATTTTTAGTACAGATGGGGTTTCACCATGTTAGCCAGGATGGCTTTGATCTCCTAAGCTCGTGATCTGCCTGCCTTGGCCTCCCAAAGTTCTGGGATTACAGGCGAGAGCCACTGCACCAGGCCTGCTTTTTTTATGTCACTCTTCCATACTGTCTGTTTTTCTCCTTTCTGGGACCAAGTTTATTTTTCTAAAGCAATAATAGCTCTGTTTTCATTTCAGAACATTGTGCTGCCTGTCAGCATATGTATATCAGCTACGAAATAGATTCAATTTTGACTTCTTTTGACAATGTACTTTAGAAGAAAGATGAACAAAGTTATTATTTGAGAATTAAATTATATATTTTTAATATGACTGATGACCTTGACTGATAATAAAGATGTAATAAGAATTGCAAGTTAAATGTTTCCCTTTGCAACTCATGTTTTGTTTTTTGTTTTGTTGACAACTCATAACGTTTTGTAAAGCGCTGCAGAGAAAAGAAAGATGCCTCATCCTGGCCTCTATCAAACAATACTGTCCAAGGTGGCACCTCTTATGCAATGTTTAACCCTAGTGGTCATGAAGGATGACTTAGTTCGGATATTCCAGAACTTTTTGCTTATACCATCAGGTATGCATGAATTTATTGTCTGAAAGAGGACTTAATAATAATTAAAACTTACTAGTTTAAGTGTTAAACTTTTTAATTTTTAGGTGTTTGGGGAAGAACTCTTTTTAAAGTATATTATACACCTGACTGCTTTTTAAAATGAGTGCACATGACATACTTTAATTCCGTATAGATTTAGGCCCTCCTCTTTGGGAGACACTGGGTTGAGACCAAGGTCAAAAAACATTGCCGCTGCCCTCCAAATTATCTCCGTTCCATGAGGAAGATCATATACGTGTGTAGTAGCAACAGCACAAAACAGACTGGAACAGAGCCCATAGTATGTAACCCCAAGGATGGTCACCTATACCAACACCTATTGTATTAGATTCTGCCCTAAAACAATTAGGGTTAGATGCTAAGTTATGTAGTTCTGGGTCTTAACTCTAATAGCCATAATAACCCTAGTAACCTAGAATATCTCTGATTAACTATCCCCTGCTTTTAGATAGCTGGTGTCCATTGGGTTTGTTTTTTTACAGCCTCTCTTGTATCACAGTGGGTACACTTGCTTCATGAAAGCAGGAACCACGTTCACTGCTGCATTCTTATCCCCTAGCTCCATACTCAAACACACAAAAGATACCCAATAAATATTGATTGATTCACTAAATGAATGAATGATGAGCAGGCCTGCTTCTAGAAGAGCACTGCCCAATAAGAGTGTAATGCAAGCCATATATGTAATTTTAAAATTCTAGTAGCCACATTAAAAATAATACTGGGCTGAGTACAGTAGCTTATACCTGTGATCTTAGCAATTTGGAAGGTCAAGGTGGGCAGATCACTTGAGCCCAGGAGTTTGAGACCAGCCTGAGCAAAATAGCTAAACCCCATCTCTACCAAAAAAATATAAATAAGCCAAGTGTGGTGGCATATACCTATAGTCCCAGCTACTTGGGAGACTAAGGTGGGAGGATTGCTTGAGCCCAGAAGGTTGAGTTTGCAGTGAGCCATGATTGTGTCACTGCACTCCAGCCTGGGCAACAGAGTGAGACCCTGTCTCAAAACAACATCATCATCATAAAAAGAAACCAGCAAAATTAACTTTACTACTATATTTAAACCGATATATATATAATATTATTTCAACATGCTACCAATATAAAAAATTATAGTCTTTTCTTTCCATATTAAGTCTTCAAAATCTGATGTGTAGTTTATACGTACAGCACATCTCAGTTATGCCTGGCCATGTTTTAGGAGCTCAATACCCACACGGGACTACTGGCTACCATATTGGATAGTGCCATTCTTGAAGCTTCCAGCTTTTCTAACTTGATGCCTCTGATTTGTGGGCTCAGAATATAGATAACCAAAGAAGTGGGAATAGTGTCTAAAGTAAGAATGACAGGGTGTGATTGACAGCCTCATGAGCTTACCTAGGAGAGAAACTTGTGGGGTTGGAGAATAAGGATTTGTCAATATTGGCTCTGACTGTTCACACTCTTTCTGGGCTAACTCCCAGATTGTTTCTCAACTCCAGATAAGTGAGGAGCATGGTTGCACTTTTTAAAGTGATGGCACAAAAAAAGAAATTGGATATTGGTCTTCTGATTATATATTCTAAATATGCAGTTAGAAAAGAAGCATTTTAAGAATCTCTAAGAGTAAAGCAAATTAATACCTTTGTTTCCTGAAAATTAGAGGAATTTGATATGCCATGATAGCCCTCTTCATTTTATTTGGAAAACTCTTTTTTGAAAGCATATTAAAGAAAATCTTCTGATTAGCTTCATGCCTCTCCTTCAGCAAGGTCAAGGGTGCACTTGTCATTATCACATAAGATCTCATGAAAGTTAAACATGAATATACTGCACACATTTCATTGGGTTTGTCATGCCACACATTGTTTTAAATTCCATAATTCTCTTCTATAAAGAGTGCTTTCCATGACATTAGATTTGTTTTCAGAAGAAAACACAATTTAGAGTTGTCATTGGTAATTGTGGTTGCAAGTATGCTTTCAAAGACCAGAAACCTTTGTTTTGCTTTGAATGTATTTTTAAATGCTTACTATCTCAAATGTTGTAAAACTACTATTGATTATATATCATTTTGCAAACAAAGAAACCTAAAGGTTATAAATATATTCTTAAAATTCAGGGTATGTCCAGGGTGTGAACATCCTGTATATTCTTTTTTTTGTGCTTACAGCAATACTTCCCATTGCTTTAGATAGGTAGGGTTAAATTGGCAATCTTTTTTTAATAAGTGATAGAAAACCAAACTCAAACTGGCATTTTTAAAAGAGGTGGTAGAGTTTAATAGCTCACTTAGCAGAATAATTCAGAGGTAGCATTGATTCAGACCCAGATTGATTCAATATCATGTCCTAAGTCCGTTTTCCATCTCTTCTTGGTTGGCACCCACCCTCAGGCTTTCAGTGGTGCTCCCTGAAAATCTGGGGCTCATCTGAGCTTCACAGTCTTATACAACCACTCCCCACAAAGAAGAGAGCTTCTGTGTCCCAAAGTTCCCAGTGGAATTACTTGGGTTCACTCTGATTGGAATGGCTCATGCTAACTGGGTTCTTCCCTCAGGCTACAAGTTGGTTCAATACTGAAACCATATGGCTGATAATAGGGGAACTGGGAGTTCCTTGGGGAATGAAGAAGAAAGGAGAAAGACAGTTAAACCACAAGGCTCACTACAGGATGTTTTGCTTTAAAGCAGATGCAGTCAGAAGAAATTTATGTAGTGGCAAGGATCTAATTCATATAATATTCACCATCACCAGCCTTGTAGGACCATCCCCAGGAAAGGATTTGCAATATATGAAGAAGGAAGACTTAGACTTTATATCCTGAAGAAGAGCGGGGATTGGAATAGATGGGTGGGAGGCGGAGGAAGGGAGGAGGGAATGTTTTGCTGTACTTGTAATTTATTTTTTGGACTGTCTTGCCAAAAATGGTGCAAGTGACCAGAAATCAGAACTAGAGAGCTGGATGGAGTTGGGGGACGGGAGTGGGAGAAAAATGAAGGCAACAGAAAAATAGAATACAATTATGTTTCAACAGAAAAAGCTAAGCATCAAAATTGTGTCTTTTGCTCATCATTGTATCCCTAGTACCTGGCCCATAGTGGGTGTTAAATGAATGTTTATAAGTAACCAAAATAATGAATGAAGGTAGCCATCAGTGATGATGATATCTGCCAGACTGCTCCTTTTCTGTAGCTCTGAGGTTAAAAGCAGCTCCTAAAGGAAATTAGACAACAAGGATCACTTGGTCCCAGAGGAATGACTTTCCATTCAGTCTTGAATGCATGGGCAAAATTTCAGAGAATTTTTCCGCCTTCTACTGCTTTCCCTCAAACCTAGATGATAGCTTCAGTATTCTTAAACCCAATCTCACATTGCCTGATGTAAAAACTAAATTTCTGGCCAGGCACAGCGGCTCATGCCTGTAATCCCAGCCCTTTGGGAGGCCAACGTGGACAGTTCAGTTGAGCCCAGGAGTTTGAGACGAGCCTGGCCAACATGTCAAAACCCTGTCTCTACAAAAAATACAAAAATTAGCCAGGCATGGTGATGTCGGCCTGTAGTCTCCACTACTTGGGGGACTGAGGCATGAACCCAGGAATTCAAGGCTGCAGTGAACTATGATTGTGTCACTGTACTCCAGCCTGGGCAACAGAGTGACCCTGCCTCAAAACAACAACAAAAAAAAACCCTAAATTTCTGATTATCACTAAGTTTTTAGTTATGAAATTACTGGAGGAAATGCAGCATTCTCTTGGTTGAAAACCATTTGGAGAGCCATGCACATTCCTGATCCCTAAGTCCTTGAGGTTGCACCCATCTTGAGGAACAGTGTGCTCTCTGGACTGATGTTACTGAATCCAACCCAGTTCCTACTTGATTTTTGTGGCATTAGCTTGGCAGCTAGATTTTACCTTTACTGTTTTTACCACATATCAGAAGATGACAAATCACACTGGTAGCAAGGATAAGGGAGTGATTTTCAAGGCATTCTAACTCTAAAAAACAGTTGAGAAATCAGCTTTCTTTATGGAGTAAGAGAACACGACATGGATGAACAAATTGTCCTGTTATCCAATAAGATTATCAGGGTTATTAGTGAGATAATAAAAAAAGTCTGCATGACTGCCAAAAGTCTCCAGACTAAGGATCAGAAGACCTGGTTTCTTATTCTTCCTCTTTCTAGTCCTGCAACTCTGGCCAAGTTTCTACGCTGCTCTGAGCTACAGGGTTTTTCATTGTGAAAGAGGGTAAGAGTTCCTCCACATTATTCCAATATATTGAGGAAACCCCATGAGATAATGCATGGGAACGTGTTTTGGAAACTCAAAAGTGCTGCCCCAAATATAAGGTAACACTATTTACAATTGACACTTCCACAAAGTTTAGCCAACAGCCCCACACATTGCATCCTCTTCTGGTAACATTAATCAAAATCAGGCCAAAGGTGCAGGTAGGACAGACGCCTGACTTACTAGAAAATAAATGTCTGGTCTATTCCACTTGTAGTGCCAGTTTACATTGTCTGGTGAGGGCCAACGACCGGGGCCTCGGGGTAGAAGGAAGAAAGGGTATCAGTGGAACTGAGAGGGTATACTGTGGCACCTGGAAACCCAACCTCGCCCGGCTTCCCTGTCTCCTGTGTGCAGCATGCTTGCAGTGCATTCCTCTGGCAGGTAAATACTCGGGAGTCCCGCAGCCCACTTGTGCCCACCTAGCCTGTAAGTGCCCCCGAGGGTATCAAAGCACGCGGATTTCCACTTGAAACAAAGCCACTGCGCGGCAAGTTTCCTCGTTAATAATAAGGAGGAAAGAGAGGACTTGGCAGCCATGGCGGATCTGCAGTAATTAAACTGACGTTGCTGTTTAAAAGCCTAGGGGTTGCCTGCAGCCTCCCAGCCTGCACTCCAACGGCTCCAACTCTGCAGGCGGGCCGTGAATGTCTCTAGGTGCGTATTAAGCAAAAAGTTTCTAAAGAGGATCGCGTGGAACCCAGCAATTGATTAAGAATCTCAATGGCCCTAATCCACCGAGAATTGAAAGAACTCCCCAGCCAGCGCAGCGCTTTAAATGGGGCTTAGAGACAGCAAGCCCCGCCGGGGAGGAGGGGCGGGGAGTTACTGCGCATGCGTCCGAGGGTGTCAGGCGCATCTGAAGCAGAAGTGTTCCAGCCTATTCAGCAGCGAGTGGCTGGAAATCAGCAAAGTGAGAGGCTGCGCGGCGTAACTGAGGGACTAGGGGAGGCTGGGGGCTTTTTTCTGAAGAGGTGTGAAGCTCAGGGGAAGGAGTAGACGTGGAAACCACGTAAAGTAAAATCGTGGCAAGTGGGTATAGTCCTAAAATCTCCTTCGTGAGCCCCCTCCAGTTGGGACCCCAGAACGTGCAGCTCAATGTATGTTTGGAATGAATGGGTGAAAGGAAGCAGGAGGAGGAGGGAGGTCTAGTGAAGACTCCAGAGGGAAGCAGCCCATCCCCTGCCTCAAGAAAGCACCGCCACTCCAGTGGGAACGGACACGCGTGTACACAGCCATGAAGGAGGTTTGAAAGAGGCCCCACCCTCCATTACACCTTTGCTCCGCCGTGGCCCCCAGCCAAGGCTAATCTCCCAATCAGCACTTGCTTCCGGAAGCTTCTTTCCCTTTCCTTCTGATCACTCATTGGCCTTTCAACCCCTAGTTTTTTGTCTGTGTATGGGACTGTCTCCCCCGCCCCCCTTGACTGAAGTTCCTTGAGAGCAGCAGCCCTCTTTTTATCAGGGAAGAGATTTGAAGATCAGGACCTTCTTATCCAAGTAGATGCTGACCACCTGGGTAGTCAAGACAGGGCTATGCACAGTTAATGTGAGTCTACTCACAGTGTCAGGGTTATTGTTCTGCAAGGAGCTGGTCATAGAGCACTAGATTGCATTGTCACTGGGAAATAAGCTCATTTTATTGGCTTCTCGGCTAGTGTTATGTAGAAATTTGCCACAGCTGTTACTGCTGAGAGCCTGCCCTGGATCTGATCATCTATTATATCATCTCCATCTGATGGACCGCACCTCCTTGTTTTTCAGAGCTGGCAAAGTTGGACCAAGGAAAGTGACAGCACCAGCTAAGAGGAATGTGCAAGAAGGGACGGAGGAGGAGCACTATGTACTGGGGGAAAGAGATGGGGTCTTCCAGGACAGGGGTAAGGACACAAGACTGAGGGCACGAAGGAAGGAAACTGTGAGGAAGTAGAGTAGGGAAGTGGGGAGGTCAAGAGATGGTGACCGCTCTCCTCTGCATGCCCCAAGGAGATAGTGATGACATTCCATCTCCTTGGGGCATGCAGAGGAGAGTGGTTGATATTTCCAGTTGAAATATCAGAAGTCTATTTGGGACTCCCTCCTTCTGTGGGCCTCAATCTGTCATCTTCCTTGGAGCAGGACCAAAGCAAGTAAGATAAAGTCACAGTTTCTCATTCTTCTTCACTCAGCTTTTCTTGAGGTGAATAGGCATTTTTGTAAAAGAGTGTATTCCCTGCCATGTATGGTGGCTCACCCCCATAATTCCAGCATTCTGGAAGCCGAAATGAGAAGACTGATTGAGGCCAGGAGTTTGAAACCAGCCTAGGCAACATAGCAAGACTTCCATCTCTATAAAAGAAATTAGCCAGGTATGATGGTGCACACCTGTAGTCCTAGCTACTTGGGAGGCTGAGGCAGGAGAATCACTTGAACTCAGACGTTCAAGATTACAGTAGTTAAGCGTTCTCCTGTACCACCAAGGGAGGTGGGTGTCACTAGCCACATGAGGATATGTGAGCTAGTCACCAAGGACTGGGGCTGACTCCCCAAGCACCAGGACAGTAAGAATAAACCTCTGATTATTCCCCTGTCCCCGACCCCCACTTCGATTGGAGTTAAAGAGATATGCCCTTATGTGACTGAAAAAAAGGAGCCCTGCTCTCCTAGAGTCACATCCCCATAGGCCAAGACACTGTCTTATATATAATTATTGGTGCTTCATAAATGGCTGATATATAAAGAAAAAACATTTCTATCAGGGGCTATATCCGACCTTATTCACAGCCTCTTGTAGAAAGCTGCCCTGATCACAGTCTCTGTAAGGGCCAGTTGTGTCTCTTGTGAGTGACCAGTTTCTCTGACCTCCCCTCAAGCCATGACTGACTGACCGAGGAAGTCAATGTGACCACTGAGAAGCAAGGCGTAGCTTTAGACTCTGAGTTTCTTACTCTCTCCACTTTGCTAAGATGGGGTTATGCCTCATTTCTGAGAGATTTCCAACCCTCTACCATATATCCCTCTTGGGGAGGTCGCTTGGGGAGGTATCTGGTTCTTAGCACCAGGAGAGCTCTCGAAGGACCCAGTTGCTGAAAATGCTCAAAGTAGGAAATGGAGGTCAAGTGATGGCCATAAAGATTTTCCTGCTCCTCCCCTTGAATCAGGGATGGGCTTGCGAATTGCTTTGGCCCATAGAATGTAGGCAAAGTGATACTGTACCAGTTCCAGTCTTGGTCTTAAGAAGCTTGCCAGCTTTTGCTTTCACCCCCTTGGATCCCTCAGCTAGTATAGAAAGAGATCCAGCTGCAAGGACTGGTTACATAATTTGCAGGGATTAATGTAAAATGAATGCAGGGTTCCTTGTTTTAAAATTAAGAATTTTAAAGTGGTGACAACAGAGCGCTATACCAAGCAGAGGCTTGATCCGAGTTGGTCCGGGCATCCCAGCCAGGCTTCCTGACACATATGTGATGCTATCTTGGATTTCTGGCCCAAATTAAGCTTCCTTATGGACGACATGAGAGGATGATCTACCCCAGGTGAGACCAGTAGAAGAACCCAGCCCAGATTATAAAACCATGAGCAAATAAATGGTTGTTACTCAAGTAATGCTCACTAAAGCTCTTCATGACAAATGGGTGTAGTCCTAGGGGCTGCTAAGGCCTGGGTTGGTATTTTATATAGCAATAGGTAACTGAAGCATGAAGAATAAGAGTTTGCAGTGAGTGGTCACCTACCATATTCCAGGCTCTGTGCTGGTGCGTTGCGTGTGCTGGCCCACCTGATCCTTATAACGCCTTCCATAATTCCTTTCTACAGGAGAGAATACAGCAGTTCCGAGGGCAAAGGATTGGTACCACTGCTCCCCACTCAATAAACAGCGGAGGCAGAATCTGCACGTGAGTCTGACTGATTCCAAAACCCATATAATATCCCTGCATTGAAACAGATACAGGGAAACTGCATGCAGCCTGGGGACTATTGGATAGGGATCTGATGCTGTCTTTCCCAAATTTCCTCACAAATTCTACAGTTGAAGTATCAGGCAGGGAAATAACCAGGTGAAAGACCTCCTAATGGGACATTATCACATCACACCTCTGTGATCATCAACCATAATCCCTGGGGGCTGACCTAGAGGTATCCTACAATGAAGCTTATTTGGGTTTTTTGATAGGTATAATAGTGAGAAAATTTGCTATGGTTAGCTATGGATAGTTGCTGAGAATGTGCCCCACCCCTCGATAGTAACCAAGCAGCCCCAGGCCTCTGGAAGGATTGGAGAAATCCAAGACGTGGGATTACGAGAAGAAACTGTGGTTGACATTTCATTTATTGTGCTGTCTTAAACTTAGTTTGCCTGAGATGAGATATTTACTTTACTGTACTAGTTATGTTCTATACTAATCATATTTGGGGACACAAAGAATAGTGTGAAAAGTTGAAATGTAGCTTGTAACTTTGGCTCTGCTGAGCTGTTCTTGTAAAAACAGGAACTCTGCAAAAGGGACAAACCACACAGCTTGACTGCCAGAGAGGGATGACAGCACATAATAAGCTTCTTATAAGCCCCTGTTTCCATCTCACCCAGGATCTCCTGTCTTCCTTAAAAATAAGGACTTTACCTTATTTCCTGCCCAGCTGTTGAAATATCAAACTGTACCAAGATTTTGGCCATGATGGACTCCGCTCTCTGCACACTAAGATATTTATCTTCCTGGTCATAGGTAGAAATATTAACAAATAATATTCATTGCCATTTATTGAGCAGTGTGTTAAGCATCCATATTATTTAATGGGTGTTTTTCTAGCTGTGTTTTAAAGTTGCAGCATTTGAATGAATGAATGACTTCTGAGCCAAAGTGAGAAAAAGCAAACAAGATACAAATAAGTTTTCTAAACAATTTTTCTCCCCAAAATTAGCTCTGCTACTTTGTACAAGTCTCCTTTTCTAAGTTCTAGCTTCTCATCTATTCAGCAGGGATATGAACATCTACAAGGTTATGGTCAAGTTTAAAAGCACATTTGTCTGATACCAAGTAGTCAGTAAACAATCATTATCATCATTACTCCTCCAGTTGGTAATTTGGGCGGGGCTTGACAGTGAGTTTGGGTAACAGGCGATAAGGTAAAGGACATTAGGGAAAGTCTGAAAGAATGTAATAAGGATAATATATTTTAAATGTATTTTTCTTTTTCATGTTTTGTGAACGACTTTTCCCCTAGTTAGCCTAAGGTAATTCTTATACCTCAGGGAGGTTTGAGATTGTTATAGCAGGAATGCAAATAGAAAAAAAAAAAAAAGATCTAGCTTTGATTTCCAAATTTGAGTTCCTAGAATAACTGTCTTTAAAATTCAGATGTTGGGGATAAAGAAAAGGATTTTCTAGATTCCTGTTGCTTCCATTAAGCTATCAAGGGTCAGAACAAGGAATCTGAATTCTACAGCTATTGGTAGAGAGAACTGACCTCTGATATAAGAGGTATTCTTCTTACTGCACAGAAAAGATGAGGTGTTTTTTCCTTTCTGAACCAAGGGAATGCCAAGGGAAAAAAAGATAGAGATTGAAGTGAGTTTTATATGTGTTGGCCTCTCCATTCAGGGCCGATATCACAAGTAGTAGATAAATTGAAAGAAAGGAATCCCAAAAGAAGAAAAAGACTGTGTCCTGTTCCTCACTTAAAACTCAGCAAAGGGATCAAGTGGCCCATGCCAATATGTAACACTGAAAGAGAAAACCAACAGCATGGGCCTTTTGGCTTGGAGGAGGTCAAAGTGCACCTTTCTTCAGCCATATTACATCTGGGTTCATCTAGCCACCCCTGCCATGCTACCCAAGTTCAACCCCAATGAGATCAAAGTCGTATACCTGCCAAGTGCCCTCGTGGAAAAGTGGGTACCATGTCTACCCTGGCCCTTAAAATCAGCCCTCTGGGTGTGTCTCCAAAATAAGTTGGTGGTGACATTCCCAAGGCAACAGGTCACTGGAAGAGTCAAAGGGTTACAATGAAATTGACCATTCAGAACAGACAGGCCCAAACTGAGATGGTACTTTCTGCCTCTGCCCTAAGCATCAAAGCCTTCAAGCAACCAGAGACAGAAAGAAGCAAAAAAAAAAATCAAGCACAGTGGAAATGCCATTTTTGATAAGACTGTCAACACTGCACCACAGATGCAGTACCAATCCTTAGTCCTAGAACTCTCTAGAACCCATAAAGGGATCCTGGAGACTGCCCAGTCTATGAGTTGCATTGTTGATGGGGCCAGCTTCATGATATCATAGATGACATCAACAGTGGCACAGTAAATACCCAGCTAGCTGTGAACTACGAAGAAAAATATTTCAATAGAGAATCATTTGACAACAACAACAACAAAAAGACAGCATGGTTATCAGACATAGGATCTGCATGAATGCTCTTGTGCCTCCTTGAAAAAGCCAGTTTCCCAACGTGGTGAAACCCCATCTCTATTAAAAATACAAAAATTAGTTGGGCATGGTGGTGTGTGCCTGTAATCCCAGCTACTCGGGAGGCTGAGGCAGGAGAATCGCTTGATCCCAGGAGGTGGAGGTTGCAGTGTGACGAGATCACACCACTGCACTCCATTCTGGGCTACAGAGTGAGACTCCTTCTCAAAAAAAAAAAAAAAAAAAAAAAAAAAAGCCAGTTTCCCCATGCAAAGATGTCAGTAGTACAAGTCAATCAGGTACCCAGAGACATTGCTAAAAAATGTCAATACCAAACATAATCACAGCATAAGGGCCAGTGTATGCAAATCTAAAGCCCACTTTCTCCTACTGCTGACTCCAAAAGCTCACTTTATCACATCACTGCCACCCCAATATACCAGGAAACCATCTAGAAATGAGGGTAGACAACAATAGGAGATTAGCCACTCTTTAAAAACAAAACAAAACTCTTTACACCAGAACGTCTTTCGTATCCAAAGAGACTAAGATATAGATAGTGATGAATGTGGATGTGGAGCCAACGAGTAAGATTTAATCAGTTGTAGAAAACAACAGAAGACACAACCAAATGTAGCTTGATAAGTTTTTGACCCCACCCATTATATGAAGAAAACAAATCATCCATAACTCTGCCATGGTAAACATCCATCACATTTTTTTTTTTTTTGAGACAGAGTTTCACTTTGTTGTCCAGGCTGGGCTGCACCGGCAGAGTCTTGGCTCACTGCAACCTCTGCCCCCGGGTTCAAGCTATTCTCATGTGAGTAGCTGGAATTACAGGCACCCATACATTTAAAAAATATTTCTTTTCCACTTGTCTTGCAAATGCATGATTATTTCAAATAACTACAATACATATTCACAATTTTATATCATACTTTTTGTAAATTTCATCAAAATTGCTTTTCCATGCTGCTGTGTGTTCTTCCTGGTTACCCATGTTAATAGATGCATGCGCCGTTAGTCAAAACTTGTAGTTGCAAGTAACATAAAGCCAATTCCAACTCAACTAAGGGAAATGAAGATTTAATGGAAGAACATTGGCGTTGCTCATTGATCTGCAAGAACCAGGTAGCCCTGGAAATCTAAATGCTGGGGACCAGGGGCTTGATGTCACCAGAGTTCTTCCCTGCTCATTGTTCCTACAGACTTCTCTACATAAATGTACCAGGCGTTTAGCCATGTTAGGTCATTTTCATTAGCCACATTTTCCAAATGGGGAAGGAGGGACTAAGGGAGTTAGATGACTCACTGCAGGTGATTCAGCTACTAAATGGCATTGACTTGAAAACCAGCATCTTGATTCAGATTGGTGGATTTGTACAAATTGCAAGGAACAAAACTTTTTAAAAGTATGTAAGAATAGTCACATAGGGTAAGAATATATTTGATTTTTGTGAGGACTAGAGCTGAAGGAGAGGAGAAACATGCAAACGGTGTTCCATTCCCCTCACTAGGACAGCTTCTGTCATCTCAGACTGCCCACCTGAGGTCCTCCTGACCCTTGGCTCGCCCACAAGGAAGTTCATGACAATATTGTTTTCAGAAGCCAATATTCTCCTGTCTCTACTTGCAAGAAAATAACTGGCCCCCCCAGTAAGTATAATTGGTGTGAACAGTGATTTATTATACACCCAGTTCTCCAGATGGCCTTTCATATGGAAATGATTTTTCCTGAAAACAGAAAAATATGGGTTTTCCCCCCCTCAGCAGGTTATAACAGGTTTACAATCCACTCCATCAAAAAACTAGGATCAGAAACTTTAACAGAGTTCCCTTGAAACAGAAACACAAAAAAACACGTTCCATCTGGTAAATAATTGCTGGGGTTGCATTCCTGTGCATTCAGGCACAGGCTAACTGCTGTACAGCATAAAGCTGTGAAAATGTCTAGGCTTAATGGGGCAACATGAGATAAGATCTACTTAGATCTATCATATACTCAAATTGCAACCTTCTGGGATGCTGGTTCATGCCAGACTCTCAAATCACCCATAATCTGATGACCTAGACAGATGTGTAAAATTATTCAAAGATATCTGAAAATCTCACACGTGAGTATAAAAGGCTGGGTGGACACATGCAGTCCTTATTCTATATGAATGAAGGGGAATGTTTACCAAGAAGGTCATTTTCAGATGACCATAGTTGAAAAATCCAATGTGGTTCTAAGTTACACATCCTCTGCCTAAATAACAGGTTAGGAAGTATATCTAAACAGGCTTATATCATCCTGTGATGGGATACTTAAGAATGGGAAAAGCATTTAGTAGTAAAAGGTAAGGTACCAAAAGGATTTAATGTAGTTAGTATGCAGTAGGTTACTTTCAGTAGGTAACTGTAAGTTACGATTTCATTCAGGAAGAATTATTTTAGTCAGAGCTTTCCACCAATGGAACATACTTCCTCATAAGCTCCCTACCTCTGAAGGCATAGGCAGGGGAGCCATGTATTAGAGATGTTGTGGGAAGATCTATGAATTTAGAAAGCTGGGCTCAAATTAGGGATGTCACTCAAATTCTTTAAGGAGTTGGGCAGATACATTGTGTAAAATGGTAAGGCATTAGAAAGTGGATGAAACTGCAGAAGACTGGACAGGCACAGCTACCTAAAGGCTTTCAAATTCAGTACAGATGCTTCTCGGCTTGCCATGGGTTACTGTGTCTCCCAGTAAACCCAACTAAGCCAAAAATGCATTTAATACACCTAACCTACTAAACATGACAGCCTGGCCTAGCCTACCTTACACATGCTCAGAATACTTACGTTAGCCTGAAATTGGGCTACATCATCTAACGCAATGCCTATTTTATAATGTAAAGAATATCTCATGTAATTTATTGAATACTGGACTGGAAGTGGAAAAACAGAATGATTATACAGTACTTGAAGTACAGTTTCTGCTGAACACGTATGGCTTTCGTGCCATCATAAAGTTGAGTAATTAAAAGTCAAACCATCATAAGTAGGAGACCATCTGTATTTAAAAAAAAAAAAAAAAAAAAATAGGCTGGTCTGGCCAAATAAACCACTTTGGAAGGATTTGGCCTGTGGATCAAGAGGACATTTGCCACTCCTGGTCTAGCATACTTGTAAGCCTTCTTTGCCTGCTGAGTTCTGTGATGTGGTGTATAAAAATAATGCACTTTTATCTAATAAGAGCTAAACACTTACATTAACCTCTGTGGTAGGAGAAGGTGGAGTTGAATCGAAGTAAAGAATGTGGTCCCCATTCTCAGAAAACTCAAAAATACTTGAAAATAAGATATGTCCACACAAAGGCAGCCAACAATGGCAGGCAAAAAGCCTATGGCTGATCACAGGAAGGATCTCTAACTTTTATCTAGATAGGGTCAGAAAGAGCTGCAAAATAGGCAAGGCTTGAGTGAGACTTAAAAGAATGAATAGGTCTGACATAGTGGCTCACACCTGAATCCCTACTCGAGAACATCATTTGAGCCCAGGAGTTTGAGGCTGCAGTGAGCTATGATCACACCACTGTATTCCAGCCTGGGTGACAAAGCGAGATCCTGTCTCTGGAAAAAAAAAAAAAAAGACGAACATTTAGCTAAATGGAGAGTGTAGGGGAGGATAGATTTGTTAGGTAGCAACAGGACAAACAAGAAGCCCAGGGGCGAGGAGGAGGGTTGTTCTTGGATCCTTCTAAGCCTCCCAACTTCTTACTCAGATCCTAAAATTGGCTTCCTGTCACCTATACTGTTCTGAGCCGCCTCCTCAGCCTCTGGACCCCTCCCTTATGAACTAAAGATTTTAGAGCCACACTTCCCATAGCTGGGCCCTACCACCCGCAGTCAGAGCCTTTAGCGCTCCCCTTGTATTATCCTGCTCCATACCCCAACCCCACTGCCTGTCTGCAGACTTGTCAACACAGTCATCTGGCTGCCTCTCCAATCACCCTTGATGTTAAACAACCCATGAAAATTAATTGAATTTTCAAGTGAAGATGGTAATCCTAAACACTTAATGATCATAAGTGAGGAGGCACAAACTCTTCAGAGTTCAAATTTGTCTTTCAAGGTATGTCGTGTATGCCTTTGGTGGGTTACTAAGTGCCATCAATAAATAGCTAGCAGCAACTGATGGCTTACAACGTGCCAAAATCTGTGCTGAGCCCAGTACATGCACACTGTCCCTCGCCAACTCAACCTCCAAAATGGGGTACATTATTTTCCCCTCTTTAGAGACAGGCAAACTGAGGCTCAGAGGGGTTAACACATGCAAAGTCATACAGCTATCAGAGGGGCATGGATTCAAAGCCAAGTCTTCTGTCTCCAAAAACTGACTACAATCAGATGTCATTGACGGTTACCACTTCACGTGATTGTACCATTCATATGGGTGCGTAAACACATACTGAATGGCCCAGAGGCATCTGCTGGCCTCTCATTGGATGTAAGCAGCAACCATCTCCCAAACAACACACCCATTTGATGTGGGAATGTGTATCGCTGACTCTTCAGATACAGTAGTCCCTCCTTATCCAAGGTCCAAATATATTAAATAGAAAATTCCAGAAATAAACAATTCATAAGTTTCAAGTTGTGTGCATCCTGAGTAGCATGATGAAATCTTAGTCATCGTGCTCTGCCTGCCTGGGCTGCGACTCATTTTCTTGTCCAGTGTATTCACACTGTAGAAGCTCCCCACCTGTTAATCACTTAGTAGATCTGTTGGTTATCAGATCTACTGTCGTAGCATCACAGTGCTTGCATCCAAGTAACCCTTGTTTCGCTTAACAATGGCCCAAAGTGCAAGAGTAATGAGGTCAGCATATTGTTTTATTATATTATTAGTTATTCTTTATTATACCAAATTTATAAACGAAACTTTATCATAGGTATGTACATATAGGGAAAAAAACATAGTATATAGAGGGCT